GGTAGATTTGAACCGTAGATTTTGGTGATTATGATAAATTCTATGAATAGTGAATCTATCACGCCCACCGTAATTTTACTACGAGCGCGGTAAACCTACTAAGCTTGTAATAGTGCTATAACTGTGCTTATCAATAAATATACAAAAATTCAGGTTTTACTGTGTACTTCCGGTTGCTATTACAACGTGTAACCATAGGATGACGGTGTTTTTTCTAGTGAAGGTAATTGCGTGTCTTCTGTTAACAATTTTAGAATCGGAATTATATTTTATAAAGAGGAAAATATGGAGCCTCGAGTTCTAGGAGATAAGAGCCATTCTGGCTGGATCAAGGACAATTTTGGAAGTATTTTTCCATTATTTTAATAATCCTCAAGTTAAAAGCGTTAAAATCTACCTGAGTCGTGGCAACGTCGCAAGCCATACACTTGCAATATGTGTCTTGCTGCGTCAAGTAATCGAATATTTTCCACTGTCTCGCGTTTGCGGTGCAATTAAACCCTCTAATAAGGTGCTCATATATTCAACAAAATTTAATAATGTCATGCCTTCCTCACAACCGCAACTTGGCGATGGCTTCCTATACCTCCCTCTAGTGAGGCCCTCTGATTTCTTATCAGCCGTCAATATCTTTATTATTTTCTTAATCGTTTATATTTTTAGTCTCAACTTAAAGGCGAGTGAAAAGTGTCGATCCTTTTTGATATCTCGAAAATAAAGACCTCAAAATCGAGCCGCATTCGGCTTATACCATACCATAATAAATAATGAAATAAAAATAAAACTAAAAGCGTAAGATAATGTCGGGTCTACTTTTTTGTTTGGATCTTATTTTCTCTTTTGACGATGGAGGGATTGGATTTTTTAACCCTTTGTGACCGCTAAATTAATTTCTTGACCATATATCTTTTTTTGTACACCTCAAGAGACATCAGATCTACTCAAAAACATTTTTTACTGCTTTCTGGCGAGTTCATGTGGAACTAATAAATATCCAAAGTAACCAACTTAGGAAAAATACATTTGATCCGGATTAGGTAGGGTTGTTATTTATCTCAGTCCTTTACACTCGCTTTTGAACGGAAATAAATATATTTTCCATCAGAAAGATGAGTCGGGAGGTTTATAAAGAATAAAAATAATCCATATCAAAGTATAATTTTCTCAGAAAACAGCATCTAATGTATGTATCATAGAATTAACATCGGGTAAATAACAAACATGGATTTTTCCACTATTTTTATGTCAACTCTTTGCATCACCGAACTCGGCAGTTGTATGAAGGGGTTTCAACCAACCAATGAAAGTTGTTTTCGGGAACAACAACTCATTTTTCCCTCCTAACCTGTTGGCTCGTGAATTTCAAGTGTTATATTCAATGTCTCGTGGGATATTTAATCGAGCATTTAACCATGTTAAAAATCGCCCATGGAAGGTTTTTTATGCTGAATGTGTTCTTTACATATCCAAAAACATTATCTAAGACTATCGAGTATGGTGACAAAGAATTAGAGTGATAGTGGCTTTGCAAGACCATGACATCCATTAGCTACTGGGCGATGATATATGAACCATATACACAAGCAGGGCCGGATTTTCCTACTTGCCGCCCATGGGCCGCCCGTATTTTGCCGCCCCCTTCTCATTCGTTTTGAAACATCAATAAAAACCATCGTGAACGTGCCAGCGGGGGAGGGGTGCATAAGACGCGTTTACTCGTGTTGAACACATTTTTTGGGAAAGCCCTGTCAACACTACTAGCAAAAGGTCACGGAACTTTTCGCGAAAGTCAAGTTTCGTAAACCTATCTCTAATGGACAAAGCCTTCCATTCATAAGAAATCAACGAAAAATTTATGAAAGAACAAACTTAAAATTTGGTGGAATGATTTTAACTTCCGCCACCGCGCCGACCGCAGCGTGTTTAGCGCAATGCGTGAAGTATTCACGCAGTCTTGTAGGAGCTATGCGTTTCACGCTGACCGCACTGTGTTTGGCGCAATGCGTGAAGTATTCGTACAGTCTTGTTGGCGCTACTATGTGTTACATGCCGATTGCCGAGCGGAGAGCTTCTCCTTTTCAGCTCAAGTCCTCGTCATCATTTCTCCCTAAGTCGCGCCGTTCCCGGCCAAATTGTGTGTTTGGTTTCTCTCTTAACTCGACTAATTTAAGGTGCTGTCTTTTGTATCACCGAAAGACGACAAAATTAGAAATTTCCTTTGATGAAACACGGATTTCCTGGTAAACTTATGAATATTTTCCTTCTAGTTTTCAGATAATTTTGTACGCATTATCACCCGAAGTTCCTGAATATATTAGGGGAAAATATCCATAACTTTCTTCAACAATCACTATTTTCTGGGAGGAAATTTGGCAACTCTCGAATGTTTGTACGGCGTTTCTCTTTAGCACGGCAGTGCAGTCTGGCTGTTTAACTCTGGATCACCCTGTATATTAAATTTGATTAAATCGAACGTTGGTCTTGCGCCCGAATTTTGAAAATCGGTGGCCGCGAGCGAGCTGGACCGGAGCTGCTGACACTGGTGGCTCCTTTCCTGTGGCTTACCTTAGAATTGGAAAAGTGGAATTTTTTACTCTGTCAAATGGAGCTATGAGCACAGTGTATGAGCCATGGGCGTGTCTATAGAGCGTTGTGGAGAGGGCTCATGAGTTAGAGGCGATCGAGGCGGGAGACCGCGGCGGCGCGGCGGCTTCGTCACTGGCTCTTCATAATTCCCGTTCACTCTTACGGCCCTCGACTAACGAGCATACCCCATCTTCCCCACCTGCACATAGTTCTCTTTGATAGAACTACGTCCATTTAGACCCCAAAGAAAAAAAACACACATAGGACTTTTCTCCCGAATCGAAGCGACACTTTATTGGCAGAATAGTGCGGTGCACAGCGAGTTCACGCCTCGCGCCAACGCGCCTTCAATTTTGCAGACGCAATACGGACATCCATCAAGCACGAATAGTTGTATCTCTGCGCCGTCGCCGAATTGCCAGTCCATCTTAATCTACAACGCACAAGACAACATTTCGATGGTGTAAGTCGGCAATCACATAACTCGGTTTGCGACGTCGCAAACTCCCTGTTGTACTTATATTTTAAAACGGAAAACCACTCAATGGCAATTCTCTTAAATTGCCGCGATTTTCCTTCTCTGTGCGAGGAAAATTCTGCAAAAATTTAAAGGAATGATATCAATTTTTTCTCCTTTAAAAAATAACACAGATGCGGAGATTTTCAGACACCGAAAACGAGATATGTGATCGCGGATTTACGCCGTCAATTTTTGAATTACAATAATTTCGAATCATCTTTAGACAAGAGAGAATTAAAATCGAAGCATAGTATTTAAAAATTTAACTCCGGTTATGAGATTAAGAACTTGGACGATTGACAGGCTCAAAATTTACTCTTGAATATAGAAAATCCACACTCAATAGTCTAACTGAATTAACTGCAAAACTGTCTTGGTCATAAAAAGGCTGTTGGTGCTCGAAAAATCACGGGTTTATTATCATTATTACCTAACATTACATGAATAATTGAAACTTTTTTTATAATCGCGACGAAAAGATAATAAATTTCTGAAGTGTATTTCATATTCTCTTTTCCATCTTGGGACTCGTGCGGGAGGAAGACTGGCGATAATTTCTCGCGCAGCGCGGGAGAACATTCGCCAGCCGGCTTCATGAGCTGTTAGCTTCAAAAGAAGTGAATTTCAAGAAGAGTTAACTTGTCACCGCTTTATCGGCCTCTCATTGGAAGAGCACATTAATCTTGACTGTCAACCTACGTTCCGCCGCTGAGACCCTTCGAGAAGTATCCCTTAAAATAAAAATATATCTTGACGCAGCGGCTTATTTTCATCATAAACTCCTTTTAATAAATCCATGCACTTCATTTGAATAGTAATTAATAAAGTTATACAGAATTCAGTATGAAAACTTGAGTATCTCTGTCAAGCTTTTGCGAGTCTCCCCCTCAATGGCCGGTATACTTTATAATCGGCTATTAGTTGACCCAGAAATTCTCTATTATGAAGAATTTTGCATTATCAAAAGTTTAAGAAGTGGGTAGACTTTTCCCTCAACCTATTTTGGCCGCATTCATAGTCGGTCCTTAAACAGCAATTTTCCTTACGCAAGCCCCAATATAAATTACATCTTGATTAAGAATAAGGTATTTTTAATGACATTGAAAGGACAATTTTTACGATCCATGAGCGATATTCAACAATATAACCAATGGCGAGACGTGAATGATCGACCATCGATATATTCCCATTTGAAACTGTGAAAAAATAAGATGCATTCAAAAGACAAGATAAAGTCCATGACGGCCATCTTGATCACACATTAAATCAGACCAATAAGAAATGAGGCAGAGACGTCGTGGCGTCTTCAAGTCACTCATGTCTTAATTTGAAAAGTCTCCAAGTATACTGTTTAAAAATTGTATGTAGCTGTGTCGCAGAACGCCCTAGCGCGCCGTAAAAGCGGCTTATACATACACAAGTAACTGTTAACAAACAGTTATGCAATCGTGAATTGTTTGAAGATGAGGATCTTTAAATGAGAGAATGACCAAAAAATTTAACATAATGTAACAGGCGGAGGTGACAAAAATAAACTTAAAGCCAAACCCGTTGGCGCCATTGAGAAAATGGCGCCTGGTCGAACTGTACAGCGGGGGGCCAACAACGTCCGCAAAAAGCGCACCCGCTAGCGGGCGCCCGGGCGCGCTCAAAACGCACAGTTTTCTTATGGAAAGAACGATTATGAATGTATACCATTCGGTCCTTAGTATCCACGTAAGTGTAGCTTGCACAGATGGTCACCTTTTTCGTTTTACTGTTGATTTCATTGGTTGATCGGTTGGCTCATGTGTCTAGAACATTTCATAACCATCCGTGTTGACGTTTTCCAAAATGTCAGCAATCGGCGATATTGTCTCTGAAATCAATGATAAACATTGATACTTTGTTTCAGGTCCACAGTACTGGGGCAGAATAAATCCAGAATGGAGTCTATGTAATAAGGGTAGGAGGCAGTCACCCATCAACGTGGAGCCTCAAAAACTTCTATTTGACCCTTTCCTCCGCCATGTAGATATTGATAAAACTAAGGTAAGGCAACTCTTAATCTCACCATAATGAAAGGCATAAAAACTTATAAAAATTAAGATTACTGGTTTCATAATTTGAGGGATCTTAGTTTTCTGTGACAATTCAGGAGTACATAAACTGTAATGGACCAGTAGATGAGGTACGAATTTAAGCATTCTGATGTATGTGTCTTAACCAACGTATCACGCACAGCACGATTCGTGCAACGAAAATTACTAAAATCGATTCCTAACTATTTGTAAGATATTTGACGTTTTTTGATGCGTGAATTCAAATCTCCCGCTCATGAAAAAAACTAATGTCTGCGTGCAGCAAATAGCTTACTAAACGTTACCAAAAATTCTCTGCGGTATGATGGCATCCTCGATTTCGGTGCTTCGGCTCACGTGTTCCCGTTGTTAACACTTTAAACAGCTCAAGGTGGGGGAAGAACATTGCTCTATTAAAGAAGTTTGCCAAAACCGGAGTATTGCGCTGTTTGATTCAAATAGACCATTGTTTTTCTTGTGAGCGTGTAATTCAAAATTCCCGAAACCAATGTAAAATAAAAACGTAGATTTCTTAGTTAGGAGTTGATTTATGTAATTTTCGTCGCACAAATTGTGTCCTTGGCTAAGAGATAAGTTCATATTGAATGCTTAAATCTGCACCTTGTCTACTGGTCCATTGAATTGGTTTTTGGTAGGAGGGCGTAAGTCGTCACCATCAAGGTGATTTTACCCAGTAACTTTCGAAATCGATTCCTGAAAAAGAATGTAAAAAGATTTCCGGTTATTGGCAATAAAAAATCATCCGTAATATAGTGACCTTAGACTAAGAAGCTATTTTGGTCAGGGATACGGTACGGACATACTCGTAAGGGTTTTTATTTTTTTATTTTTATTTTTTTATTTTTTTTTTTTGGCGGCACGGTACCAACGAATAACTCTTTGGTTTAAAACCTTTTTTCTTCTCTGTTTTAACAGGTTAGCGGCATGCTCCTAAACACTGGACAGTCGCTAGTGTTCAGAGTAGACAAAGACACAAAACACCATGTAAATATAACTGGAGGCCCTCTGGCTTATAGGTATCAATTTGAAGAATTTTACATCCATTATGGAACGGGAAATAATCACGGATCAGAGCACATGATCCAAGGTTACTCATTTCCTGGTGAGGTGAGTACTTTTCTGTGGTCACTTGAACAAGCAATCTTGGCTTTACTTGGATTACATTTTGCAATTCGGAACTTTTTGTGTTGTTTCGTTATGTTTTTACGTGTTCAATTTTTATTGACATGAGTGTGCGTGAGTCGTTTAGTGATGCAATCATTCATACTTGAAGATGACCGGAAAATGAGAGTTGAACTCGCATCTCGAGGAGTGTTCATATTATGGGCTACAATAAATGGGAATAGGTATTAGAGCTATTGTAATGGCAGCACGCATGCTTTGAATGAATACCCGAGATAAACGTCGTGACTATTTTATCCTCCAAAAGATTTTTTCTTCTTTTCTCCTAATTTTGTTTTCCCAAAATTCTTATGCAGAAGTCGCTAAATTTATTTCTGAAACCAGTTCAGCCAACATTTTCCTTCATCCTTTTTATTTATTTCCTGTAGGTATTTATGGTACACATCGGGATTTATCCTTGCATAAAAAGCATGCATTTTGTATTAAAACTAAGAAAATCTGAAATATACATATGACAGTACGAGAAATCAGAGCCAAAGTGAGGAAATAACTAAATTATCTAATTAAGACATTTATAGGTCTTTAATAAAAACAAGAATTCGGGAATCTGAGCAGTAAATTAAACCTTCGATATGTTTGGAAAACAAGTTTTGAAACACCGAAAAAATTTACAAAAACAGTTCATAAATTAAAAGAGCCCTCTTTGATTTTACGGAATATTTTTTGGAAATATGCATTCTTTTTTAAATTATCATTCTATTCATTAACAGTTTTAACTTCAGCTCAAAATTGTTATCTATGACAAAGTAACATTTCTGTGCAGTAAAAAAGAAACAATTTGAATAAAGAAAATTTTCTTTCACTCAAAAAAATGTATCTGGAGATAAAAAAAAAAAAAAATTGGTTTCCTCAAAATATGTTCTCTAAATCAGAGAGGATGGATTAATTTGAAAAAAAGTGTTCTTTATCCATTTTTTCAGTGCTTGCCTACGTTTCTGTTTGTTTCGTCGTCAAAAACTAAATGCATCAAATAATAAGTGAAGCAGGTAGTCGGACGGTGCATTAATTTTAACCACGATTGACACGGTGCTCAAAAGGGAGAGGGATTACGGCGTGGGGCGTTAAAAACGGATTGATAAGTCGATGTCGGGAAGTCTTCGCACGGGGAGGAGGATGAGAGAACGGGGGCTGGAGGGGGTGTTCCCACTCACCTCAAACGCACCCGGGTTTATTTGCACGAGGTTCAGTCGGCGGTAAAATTTATTTTTATGGTCCGATATCTAATGCTCACCTCGTCATTGCTCTGACGTAAGGACGTACCTAAATTTCAACGTGAGCCCTCTTCTCCGCGTGACGCTTCGCTTTCAAAGGCTCTTATGAAAATAGAGATCCGTCCTTACGTCATAGGAGCGACGCCTCTCTCTCGAGCTCCCCCCGGACCGTAATGGATCAGTTCTGAGCACCCGAACACCCTTACATAAATAAATTCGAGGGCGCTGCAACCAATCTACACTTGTTATAAATAAACATAACGCTCGTCATTTTTTATTCACTTTTCAGACGCATGACCGTCGTCCCGATAACCAATCATTCTTGTCCCACTCAAACCCGCTACTTTTTTTTTTACTCTTCTCCTCTCATTTCAAGGCTCTTTAATGTTGTGTTCGAGCAATATTTTCAAATCTACCGATGAATTCTGCCGCAACACTGTCGGGCAAATCAAAGCCTTAGGCTCCGCGATAAGTGAAACTTATTTATTAAAGTTTTGAAGAATGCAGATACACACAGGGAGAAAAAAATGTGTTTATGGGGCCCGAAATTCAGGTTATATGAATCTCCGAAGTTTTCGGACCGTGCATCCGAAAACTTGAGGTGAAGCTGCCGAAATTCAGGTTCCACATCGGAAGTACTTTGATTTTCCGGTCGACACATTTCACGTTTTAACAGAGGTACCTGCCAAAGTACCTCAGATGTGTGAGCCGAACTCTGGCGATTAGACCCCAAGTTTTCGGAAGTTCGTAGATGAATTGGACGTATTTCTACCAAACAGACCTATGTGAAGGTGAGAAATATGGGGTGTGCTCGTGGAAGCTGCATAAGAAGCAATGTCAAAGTGGGCGTGATTCCTTTCGAAGAATTGGAAAAGCGGGATTTTACATTCTATCAAACAGCCCTATGTGACAACTGAATGCGGAACTCATGAGCCGCGGGCATGGCAAAAGAGCCTTGTGGACAGGGCTCATGAGTTAAAGCGTCCCGACGACGATGTCCCCGCCGCCGCGCTCCCGAGTCCACCCTCGGTCGTTGCCGCTGACGTCACTGGCGCACAATTATTCTCATTCACTTGCCACGCAAAGAGAACTAACGAGCACACCCCATATTTCTCACCTCCACATAGGTCTGTTTGGTAGAAATACGTCCAATTTTGGATCCCATGCTCCAAGTTTTTTTCTTCGTACACTTTTGAAGAATAAGAATTCCTTCACTGATTTAATACGTTAAGACGTTTTTTTCATCCCCCAATTTTAATTTTCCCTAAAAAATTTCTAGATTGTTGATAAGAAGAATGCCGATTTTTGAGTTAATATGAAGCTTATAAATAAAAGAAAATAACCTTTCAATGATCAATTGAAAGAACCTAAGAAAAAAGGAAAAAAGCGTAATTAACGGTTGTGCTCTTTTTTACATACAGCATTGCACTCTGGAATTAGAATCAGATACTGAGCGAATAAAACATTTTTTAAAGAAATCGATATGCAAAAGAGGAGACAAGCAAATAGATAAATAAACGATAACGTAAAAAGTGACTTCATTTGTTTCGCCGAAGACAAAATTCTTCGCTGTTTTCCACTCGTAGCGACCGCTTCTAGGGTTGGAAAAATGACTAATGAACCGAGCGTGGTTATGGAAAATTTACGAAGACATAGCCGCCAAATTTCCACCGGGTTCGAATTTTTTATGGTGGTGGGTGAAGAATAAATGCAGGATCCCACAATACGGCCACACTGTTTAACTTATTTAAAGTGCAGCCAGCGATAACGCTTTCAGACGCAGGGCGCGGTTTCTTTGACTTTGAGTAACTGATAGATTCTTGAATATTTCTGAGGTGCCTATCAACGCTTTTCGCTTTTGTTTCTACTGTTTTCAGCCAGGGGAGGAAATAAAGAGGGAAGGCGTCAAATAAATGTTTAAAAACTTGGAAGAGAAGTTGACCGCCTTATCTCGCACCTTGAGATAATGAGAGTAAATATTTAAATAGTCCCTCCAATCTCACCTTTACATTAATGGCTGTGATATTCCAATTTTCTCGGCGAAAACAGGTTGATTCCGTTATTTTACAGTATTGAGTCCATCTATAAGACGTGCATACTAAATTTGCCAGATTTAATGTTCTAGACGTTAACTGAAATTTTAAAGAGTTTTGTTTCAGACTAGTCAACTTTTCTAACATAAGCAATTTCGATAACTGGTATCGTAGTGTACGCGTACCTTACACCGTTGCATTGTTCGGTTGTTGAATATAATTTGAAATTGCATGAATCCTGAATTGGGAATCCTGTACCACCCACATGAAAATTAGAATATTCTAAATGAACCTTCAAATCTCTTGGACGTGCTGAAGACTGAATAAAGCCCCCTGCCTTAATTTAAATTCATTGCGCTGGTTTTTAAATTAAAGTACCTTGAATATTTGCCTTCTTTCCTCCATTGCTTGGTATCATATTTTTTTTTTATTTTCTCGAATACCTGCATAACTTAATACTTTATTTGATCAAGACACAATTATTTACACATAATCAGTAATATTTACCGTTTGATGATTTTTTGGTCACTTAGTCTCCACGTAGTTTACATTTTGTTAATTTTTTATTGAAAAACAAAAAATTAAATTATGGCATATATCAAAGGATTTTGAACAAGAAATAAGCAGGAATGATGATGGGGACGAATGGAAAGAGAGGAAATGAAAGTGTGGAAAGAAAGAATTAAGAGCATTATATTTTTCCAGCGCGCATGCACTCCAGTGTTACGGCGAAAACGGTCGGATTAGAGGATTTCAGCGTCCACTTTCAGCCTCAGACATGAGCAAATAAACAACGTTCACTTTGAAATAAAAGTTGGGCCATTCCAGCATTTTACATTGGCTAATCGCTTGCCTTTCACATGAATTGCAAAGGCACGTTTGAATCAACGAATAATCGGCTTTTCCCGAAACTATGAGGGGAGCGTCTGAACCGTTTTATATTCTTCGAGAGAGTTAAAGTCCACAAAATAAATGCTAATTTTTTACCCCCGCCCGTTTAAAGTCCTCGAAAATCCGTTTGAACCTGAAACTCGTTTTAGGTGGGACTTTTTTGTAATTCCCAGAGGATCTCTTTTTCCCCTTTTTTTCTCAAATTACTTAATCAATACTTTATTTGACCCCGCAAAAAGAAGAGCTTAAGCATAGTTTCTTGCGGATGAAATACAAGATGAACAGTTTTGAGTTATTTCTTCTCATATTTTTTTGTGTAAGCTGTGTCCATGAGAACACTCATTTTCGTAGGGAACTAATAGCCCTAAATGTTGTTTCGAAATAGAGCCAGAGATACTTGTTATTGCATAACATAATATCCACTGTTAGTTTTTTTTAACAAAAAAATATCGCAAGCGCAGTGTCTCGCGTGCTTTGAAAATTCGTATTTATTTTTACCATAATCCTCTTCATAGTCAACATAATTTCAACTGGACATCAAGTTTTCTTTCACCTGAAAATAATATTAGATGAAATATAAAAATAAAAATAAAAAACAATGGAAAGCGTGCGTAAAGCGCAATTTAAGTGGAGCCGTCAAGAACTGCTTGTTAAAGCAATCAATCCAACAACTGTCAATGGTGAGACGAGAATGGGGAGCAATTTTTCAATTCAAGACAAAATCAATCAATCTGTGAAAAAATATGAGCCTCAATTTGACACGAGAATGCGTGTTGCTAACAAAACACTT